TTCTGGAAGATTACCCCAGCTCACGATGAGCTTCGGAACAGTTATGAGCTCCTGAACAGCTGCCTTCTCCACGTCACCACTTCCATGTCCAAAGGCAAGTCAACATTCTCTCCCACAGACTGGATTCTGTCTGAGTTCTTTCCTTGTATCTGCCCTGTTTCCTTCCGCCACGGGACCTTTGCACATGCTATCCCCCGACCCCCCGACTTCAATTTGGATATCTCTTCTCTTCCCCATGCTCTTTTCATCTAGCCAAGTACTGGTATCCTTCAGATCTCAAATTACATGTTCTCAGAATGTCTACCCTGACCCTAGTCCCGAGGTCTACATCAGATTCCTTTATTACTCATCCTCATAAAATTCTATTCCTTCACCTTTGACTCCTCCTCTGCCTTAACCAACCACGACATCTTATCAGCTTACCTCCTGTCACTTCCTTAATTCCATCCGCTTTTCTCCAGTCCCACTACTATCGCCCTAGTCCAAGAGACACCCCGTATGTGTTCTGGACTATTCCAGCAGCCTCCTAATCTGCTTCCCTGCTTCCACCTTTGTCTACTCTCCAGACAGCAGCAGCAGAATAAACATTTCAGAATGTAACCCTGACCCCATCATCCGCGGTTTCAAACATTTGATGGCACCTTAGTGCTCTTAAGTTAAAAATTAAAACCAGGGTCTGTCTCTCTCTGATCAAATTAGAAAATAATAATAACAAATAAAGTTAAAATTAAACTAATAATAATAATTATTATTATTGGAGAGGTTTTTGCTACAGGGTGCATGTGCTCTCCAGGGAGACAGAAAGTCAGAAATCACCTCCAGGGGGAATGGCCATACCACAATCCCTTCTCCTCCATTCTCCTCTTGGGATCTTGGGCATACATGCACATGCGCCCGGAATGAGTTTAGGCCACCGGGCCTGGGACTCAAACTGCGGTCGGCTACGTGGGAGTTCAGTGACATAGCCATTACGTTAACTGCTGGTCCCTATTTTTTAATAATTTTTTAAATTATTGTTATTTAACTATACTTATTTATTTATGAGAGGAGAGAGAGAAAGAGAAAGTGAGAAAGCAAGCTGCCAAGTCTGGAACTTAAACTGCGGTCGGCCATATGGGAGTCCAGCGCCCTTAACCACCATGCCACCTGCCAGCCCCCACAATAAAAGTAATTCTAAAAAAAAAAAAAAAACAACAACAACATGAACGAGGCTGACAGGACTCCACCCAGTCTGTCTCCAGCCTCACGCTGTACTCGTCTCATTACTCTCTGCCCCTTTCTCATCTCTCAGTTCCTTGAACCTGCCATGCTCCCTCCTACCACAGGATCTTTGAACATGATATTTCTCC